TGGTGGTATTGAATTGAAGTCAGTTACCGAAGGCATCTTCTTACCAGGAACTGCCAAACCGACTCAGACCCAGGTTCCAGACGGCAAACCGTGCACTTATTGACTCAGAATCGTCACTCCAGTCTCAGTCTTCATATCGGTAATACTACCTATTTATCATAGGACCCACCACTAATCTCTTGAGTGAAGAATTATGAGCAGCGTAACAGCCACATTCTCACATCACCCTGCGCGGAGTCCAAAAGTTGACTCGAAGTGGTTAGGATTTTGTTGAACGGCTAGGGCTGAGGTAGTCCACCTGACGTATGTAGTCGGCGCAACCGCAACGCCTCGGACGGTAAGGGGTTCATTCGGGCGCAATTTCGGACACACCAGAGCAGTATCGGCGCTGCATCCTCACTTATGTCAATTCTACCTCGGCTACAAGGCAAAACAATAACGCCTCAGGATGGGCATGGACGCGGTGTCCTACCTCAAGTAACTGTTTCGCCTACACGGTCACCTCTGGGTGTGTCAGTTTGCATTGACAAAATTTCCCTTATTTCGATCCCCACTTTCAACAGATACGCAAAAACCTCAGTCTTAGTCAGCAGGACCACGAAGATATCCTGTCAGGTAGCAGTTGTTCAAGCCAGGCCTCTACAGTACCTTGTTAGCTCGATAACAAGTATGGTTTACTTTAGTGATGAATTGGTCCCACTTTATCTTCCCCCTTCCACTGTTAATTGACGGTAAGATGAACACAATCCAAATAAAGAGGAGATTGGACCCAGTTGCCGTTTCGCGATTTCCACGCATCCTTCTAACCCTCGTTTAGTTCTGATTTCACGTCCCTAATACAACTCGGGGGTAGGTGTAATTTGCAGACCTGTTACAGTAACAAGACACGCAGAGAGCTATTTCTGTTAGGTGTAACTGAGAAAGAGGGCGTAGGTTAGCTCGGAGGTTTGAGTTACCATACAATATTTAAGACTCTATGACACAATTCAGTAAGTCGGGATAACACAAAATTATTCCAGTGCCGATCAGGCGGGTGAGGTGCCAACCGCCCCAATTCAGTGTATATTGGTCGTCAAGCATTTACCTGCATAGGGCCTGTGATGTTAATACAGTGAACATCGGTTAGTCGGTGCGCCTAGGGCCAGACCGTCTTGACTAGATATATAGCTAGGCCCGTTGTCTGGAATTGCAACCAGATGATAGGACACGGAAATTGAAACTCTTAAAATGCAGGTTCCCTTGTGTTAAGTTCCAGAAGGACAACTGTTAGGGTTATTTTTAGGGCGAAGAGCTGGGTATTGACAGGGAATCGCGCATACACGAACATAAGCTGGCTGTGCGAAGAGGCGACGCATTACCACAAGTGGCCGCCCACACCTACGAAATGTGTCACGAATTTAACTCGGCAGCCACCAAAATAGCCGCCCACACCGGAAACAAAACAGGCCGAGAATTGATTGAGGCCTGGGCCTCGGATGAGAACTCGGTCAATCGATTTATCGATCTGGCGCCGGCGTATCGGGCCCTGCGCAGTCACCTCCAGTCTTGCACCGTCGGTCGATGATTGTCTTACATGCCTTATAAACGTCGCTTGTTCTGTTACTGCTACTACCTCTGACAATGGATTCCTGTATGAGGCTGAAAATTCAGGACAATAAACACTGTGTTCCGGTGCTCGACTCTCCTTCATTTAGGGTAACAGATACTCTCCTGGGATTTTAGCTCGGCGCCATCTGTCTTAGGGGGAGGGGGTGGTTTTATTCCCGTGTCTAGGCCTTTTGTTCACGGATTTCTTCAAATGCTGTGTCTCTGCATTCTTTTATTTCTTGGCGTGTTTCCTGGCGTCTTCTGAGCATTGTGCTGCCATGCCGAAGTTGTAATTGTTACCTTTGACAGGCCTGGTTTTACCACCGCCTGGCGTGATGGTCCGTCGAGAATATCCTCTATTCGTGTACTGAAGTCAAATACAGCAGTGGCCTTATTTACTGTTTCACTCTGCCCCTGTATATCTTTCCATGGGCGTTTTTTACAGCTTTTCTCCCCGAAAGCCTTAAATTTACCTCTCCGGTCGGCGCTGTCAACTGTCACTATTTCTTCAGTCGTTTATTTCTACTTTCATTGAGCCACGAGAAGATTAGGCTCGCCTTATCCTAATTTTTAATCGAGAGGCTAGCCTTCTGCGATTGTATGCTAGTCAAGTGACTTGTCAATTTAGACTGCCCCGGAAGATCGACCCCTCTAACAGTATCGTCGTCTCTCGCCTTCAGCTGCTATCATTTTGTCGTGTCAGTTTGCTATGCCGACTACAAACCCCTGCGGACCATCTGACTGAAAGCCCGAACAGCAGATGGTCACCTTGTTTGTCCGAAACAAGCTATCCTCTCAGCCACTGGATTCCCCGAATTCTAATTGAAGACATCCGCCGGTCAGTAAAGCGGAACGGATGGCTCTGATAAATTGAGTCAATTCACGGTAGCTCATGCGACATGCCTCTCTCCAAAATTTTACCCCATTAGACGACAGACCAGTGGGGCTGTCTCCATTCTAAAACAGAATTTCATACCTTAAGCCTTTCTGTCTGGAGCAAATTCTATACTCGTTTTCGTATGAAGTGTTTTCCAAGCCGCCTTTTGCGTCTGGAAACAGGCACCCCTAGGTTTTGTGCTGCAGTTACTATTACACTGCTACCTTGCACCCATTCTAGACGGACACTTATGTCACTTTCAGTAGCCAGTGATCGCCCCCAAGTTGTTACATGCTTTCCTGGAAAAGCCCTCCATAATTCATCCTCCTTCAGCATATTTCACACAACACGCTAATTTAAGAACACCGGTGAATAACTAAGAGTGGTGTTCAGTGTGCCCAGTTATATTTCCTAAATGTTTGTGCGTTACCAGTCAATGTCTCTTGTTTTCCATGTTTTGGGTTCCGAATGTGAAATAATGTTGGCGAAAACAAATATTCTTTGCTTCCTGATTTAAACAAATTAGTTACAGTTGGCGTTTGCACAACCCGTGCCTCACTTTGCAGAGGATTATTGATGGACACATTTTCAATGGTACTGACTTTTTTTCTGTTTTTTTTTATCTGGTTCCAGCATCTTATCTGTCGGCTCAGAAATCCAGCAGAATAAAATCGCAATCACATGGAACGTTTGTAAATTCTTCTTGATTGATTGGCAGTCAACGCACAACAAGCAGCGTACTTTAACCAGACAGTTTTATTTTGACCCACTCCCTGGGGTTAGTTAGGTCCAAAATATGTAGTCACTATGGGGCAGAGAGTCGCCACATCAGTCAAATATTTTTACGAATATTTTTTATAGGGATTACAGCCCACCAGAGGCGTTGCTTCAGAGCCTGCGTTCGCATTAATACCAGTCCTCTTTTGAATACTTTTCTAAGGTAAGTTGCTGCCCCTCCGTACTCCCGGAATAGCAGAACACATTCCTAGTTATCTCGGGTTTTCAAACGATGAGGAAGAGTTCTCCGGGGTCCATTCGCATAAGGAAACAAAGATTCTACAAAACATTTGCCGCCCGAAACTAACAGTTGCACTTTTCAATTAATAAGAGCGATTGCACAGTTTCTTCTTATTGGCCCAGCCGCCTTGGCGGGCGGGCACAGTACACGGACACGTGCCTTGTCCCAATCAAAACAAGCATATGCATGGACAGAACGTCTTGCCTGCAGTTTTGCCCACTTTGCTTGTGCGTGCGTGTGTGTATGTCCATCTCGCGTAGGATCCAGATGACTGTCAAGCCATGGGAGAACAAGCAAGAAAGCAGTAAAAGAATTAGCTGTGGGAAAAGCTGTGTGCGCCACCAAGCATCTCGTAGTGGCGCTAGAATCCAACGAGGCGCGTCGCCCATTGGTTGTCTTCAGGCGCGCGCGTCGCAAGCACGCACCTTCGTTCCTGAGCCAGTCATTGCTCAAGCATGCGCGCACAGCCGATCAGAGGCATAAATATTTTCGGAGGCCTCGCGACTGCCTTTAGCCATGTTTTTCGAAGAGCGCAATTGCAACAGTAGCAACGCTATGGCAGAGGCTCTCAACTTCTCCCGAAATGCGCCTGACCTTTCGTTCATTCGTAGCCTTATGCCCCCGGACTCTGAGCTGGGTGCACAGACCAGAGAGCTCGCTGCGAGCATTTTTCTCAGTCTCTCTACGGCTGCTTCATCAACCCCCTGCTCGACACTAGCTCCAAACAGGCTGCTAGAACTGAAGAGCCAACACACCCCCATTTCGATGGTTCCAACTTTCGTTCCCAACGGCTGCGATCCGGCGTACAGCCTCTCCCGCTTTTTCCTACCCTTTAATCGCAGGGCGAACAACGACGTTGAGAATACCCAGGCGGCCTATGAACAAGCCTTTTTGCCGAAGGCGGTTGATAGGACGCATAGGCAGCCTTACGCAGAATACCATCTAGCAGCCTTCCAGCGAGCGCTGGATCATTTGGCCCTTTTGGGTCTTTCAAACAACCGCCAGTCTCCGTCTACAGTGAACAACGTTCTGCCAACCGGCTGCACCAGTGCCACCAATGCGCCTGTGGAAATCTCGATTCAAAAGACACAATGTCCGCCAAACAACTCCGGAAATGTTAGTCAGTTGGTGCCCACATGTCAGAGCTCGACTTACCCCAATGTCACCGCCTCCTGCAGTCAGTAAGTTTCCTATGAGTTTTCCTTTATTCGATTATCGTCTTGACCTCGAAAGTGTTCGTGGCCCGCCAATACCCATCAATGAACCCTAGCTTCCTCAGGTGCATATGAACCACCCCCTGAAGATTGGCGCCGGACTTGCAACGCATAAAATCCGATACTCGAAAGGAATTACTGACGAAATCAAGGGGGTCGCAATGGCCATTCACGGCTCGTAGGAAATGAGATGTCCGTACTCAACTTCATACCAAGGATAGATATGAGAACGCCACTTCTGCAGAACAAAAATTTCAATTTCAAAGCAGGTCAACGTGAAGTTCAGTAAGATGATTGCCCCGAGTGCGCTCAGTAATTACACCCCTTTAGTACTTCGCCCTAATATTTTACATAATAACTCCTCAGAGGGCTAATTGGAACATATCTAAAAATCGGATTTTGAGAACTTAGGCATTAGGTACGTCAAAATGTTCATTCATTGTTCGACTTCCTAAAAGACTATGAATAAAAAGCGGTTGTCGGTGAAAAAGTCGGAAATCAATGACAAAAGTATGATCATCATCTCAATCAGATATAGACTGTTTAAAAGTACTTCTGTCGAACTGTTTTTTCGCTCTTTTGTGGCGTCCATGAAAAGGTTTTGTTGAGTTATCGGGTTGTGGGAAAGAGTTTGGCCTATTTTTGGGAAACTGTGTCCTTTGTCGTATTCCTCCCCTTCGCCTCTTCATTTTGATTTAGCTGGACCAATTAAAAAGGAAGTAGAAGCTGCTCTTTTTGTCATATAACGTCCAATCATTGTCCTTATCTCAAATCCTCTAGACCTAGGCATATAGTCATCGCCCTTAGGTTCGGTGTCGTAAGATCTCTTTTGTAGACTGCTTGTTCGAATTGACTTTCACAAACAAAAAAATTAAATGCTTTCTGCGGAAGCAATGGCATGCTGTCACGGCCGTCTTCCCTAGGCAGCAGTAAAATCTAAACTTCACTTAAAATATCACAAGAACCGTATGAATTAGTGGTGGAATGTACATTCCTCTCGCATACCCCATGTTTAACTGACCCTGCTAGTCAGTCGGCACATTTTACCTCTACGGCACAATCGCAGAAGCATGATGAATGGTTGCCACGCCATGCTAGCGCGTGCAGATACAACAATCACCACCTTGTAGGCGAACAAACAAATGCACGATTTGAATCGGCCTGGGCATTGGGGAGGGCGTGGACGGAAGAATTCGTTAGGAATGTGTGTGTGCGTGTGTGTGCAAGCGACTACCGCTCGGGGAGGTATGTCACAATTTCAACTGCACCAGGTGGAGCAGAAGGTCGACCTGCTTTCCACAGTGCTGGCGTCAGGACCGCCTCACCTGACATTCCAGGAGAGAAAGCGCGTGGGCCGTATTTGCGAAACAGCGGCGACAAGCATCTCTGTGCCCGAGCTAGCAGTTGGGCGGCGCAATTCAGCCGCGCGTCTGCGTGCGTGTGTGCGCACGTACCCACGCGTCTGTAGAGTGTTGCTTTGTGCAGACAGTCTCATGCTACTCCATGTGCTGCCTGGCTGGCCTTCCCAGAGGATTTCACAGCCGTCACAGCGAGGCCACTTCAACTGATGCTTCTGCCACCTGGGCAGTGACCAAATACAGGAGAGAGCGAGACAGAAAAACAGTGCATGACTCATAAACATCCGAATGCGCGCACATAAGCACTCCGTTCGGAAGGCAGAATCATCAGTAGCGGCAGGTTCATCCGCCAGTGCCTGTGTACGCGCGTATGTGTGCGTGTGTATCCACGCCGATCCCTTTCCTCCCACTCTTACCTTAACTAGTCCTCTTCCCGAGAGACCGCTTTGCCGATCATTTCCATGTCAGGCCTCTGGTGCATGCTGGCTTGCGCGTGTGCAGGCACATACACCCGCGCAGCTGCGCACTCCTGCGGCGTATCTGTATTCCTTTACGGTTGTTAGAGGCCCCGTATGCGACAGCTGCGGCGGCAGGAGCGGTTGTCGCATCTAACAATGCCAAGATGTCATTTTGGCTGTTGTCATCATTGCTGTTACCCATTTACTTCTTCAGATCCTTGTTTCGCCGGTGAATGGCCTTTCAAGAGGAGGAAAATGTTTTATGGTCTGGCTAGTTGAAAAAAAAACAGCGGAACAGAGGCCACTGAGTTTTTCATTGATAGGCAGCTAAGCATTTCTTTTGTTGGAAGGCGCGCGGCCTCTGGAGCAGGTTATAAAACTGTTGTGACATGGCGCCTATCCCAGAACTATATATTATGCCCTATTGACGAGGTTTTGGATTGCAACCCTACTGGAAAAACTTTAGTTAATTACAACCCTCACGCAACTATGGCCATGTTCGTAAGGGGTAAGCCTAACCACTAAAGCGTGAGCATTTAAGGAAGAATCGAACGCGACCGCAATCTTAATCCGAACCTTAAAACCCTGACCCTAAATCAAAAAATCCATTTACTGCCCTCAACTCCAAATCCACACCATAATCCGAACCTGGCAACCCTAACCCTAAGAATAACATAGCTCCTAACACTAACACTAACTCTAAACCTGAGCCGGATACGAGCGCCTTTAACGTCAATAATGCTACTGGAGATCAAAATCCGCGTGCCGCATAATCTCTTTCGCGCCTCATTGCCAGACAAACCTTTTATGAGCCATACCAGTTTAAATAAGATGGGAAGATAGGTTTTCGAACAACCAACCAGGGATATTGCAAACCCTACCCTCATCTGCTTAGTGTATCCGAAATAGCACTACTTCGTCTAAAATTTCGCGAAAGCGGGATTCGACAAAAGCACTCTGTTAATGCACCTGTATTTAGCCGCATTATAGGCGCACGAGCGTGAAAAACAGATGTTTGGTCTGATTTCAGTCAAGGCGCCGGTTCTTACTCACGCTACAATATCAGATGCTATTCAGCCCTGAGATCACAGCAATACCATAACAGCGAAGTCCCATTTCTCAGGTAAGGTTATGCGTGCAACTTGGGATTTTTTGCGGTTGAAAGTGAATTAAAACTAGCGGTTCTCTTTCCCCGGGACTAAATTTATCAGCTTTTTATATTTCCTGACAACGGCAAAAGTTACATCTGCACTGTCAGAGTGCTTTAAATAATCTTTGACATTCTACCCAATAACTGGCGCTATGTGTACCTTAACTCCGCTTCCGACATGGAATAGCGCTGACATGCAATTTTCCGACCACCAAAGACATAGGTTTTCCTCCATAACTCATATTATTTTTCCACATTCTGTCCCATGTTTTAGTTACATACAGCCTTAATAGTAATTTGGGTTTTTCTTTAATATTTCTCAAAACTATCCGGCTTCTTGAGAATCTGAAGTTCTTTCCGGTAAAGCCTTTCATTATAAAATCCTGCAAATCAAATGGTAAAATAAGTTCTCCTCAGCATTTTAGGGCGCGGTTGATTATATTCCCTTTTACAGAAATGAAACGCGCATTCTATTCTCTTTCTTTTTTTACGTATATGGGGCTTCAGCAGCAAACGTCGATAATCAGTGGAGTTCGTGTAAATTACATCAAAAATTCTGTCGCTCAACTCTTTGAAATAATGCTAGTTATGACCCGAAACAGTGTCGAACCTGGTGTCGGGATGTCTAGAGACCCCTGGGTCTCCAAATGGTCGATTGCACGGCGTAGTACCATATTTTTTGCTTTAAAATCAACGTTACACGACCGTCTAGAATTTATAGGCTATAACCCCCTATGAAATATGAAATATCAAAGCCAGGCAGCAAATGCATGTGGCTGTCAATTGTTTTTTAGCAATTTTTTTCTAAATAGCTTTCGGCAGCCGATTTCTCATGACTCCGAAATTCAGGGTTCTGGGATAAAGAGAATTTTTAATAAATGATGTGAACATGAGGTCAAAGGACCCATTTCAGAATACCTTTTCAAACCCTTGTCTTACTTTACAGCAGGATATCGAATTTAATTTTATGTCTGCATGTTTACTAAATGTCAACAACTGACTGTAGAGACTCTTGTTTTGGCTCCAAAATTAGGTGCATCTATGCTAACACAGTGGCAATTTCTGTGCCAATATCAATCGAAGATATCGTTTATGAACGTTTCCAATAATGCCTGCGGCAATGGGCTTGTGAAGCAAATTTAAACACAGTAAAGAAGGAGAGGAATTTGCTTAGACATGATAAAAGTGTTTAGTCTTACATTCTGTTTCAGATATATAAGTGTTCCTGCTACGTGCAAAGGCCGTTTATAAGGCGCAAAAATGGACAAATGGGAGTAAACTCATGTTAAGATAGCCACAATCCCGATCGCAACTGACTGAACAACGGGCTCATTGCCAGAATGTCAGAGAGTTGTACGCCTAACAACAGGTCGGGGTTCAAACCTCGGGGGTTGCAAACCTGGGGTTGAGTATGGCTGGCTGATGACGGCTGGCAAGCCAGAAATGGCTATTCAAGTCCCACGTGCCTTTGCCAGTTGTTTTATTCTACTACAACCAAGGCTTGATTTCCCGCTGTTTGTCAATTTTAGAAATGAATGTCAGCGGACTTCGAAGTTCCCTGAAGAACGTCGATCTAGGGTGATCATTCATCAGATCGGAGGCGCGGAGGATCATTTTTCGAAGGCATTACAAGGCTTGCAGGCGCGAAATACGGTATGATAATTGAGCATTGTTCGTGATTATAAGTTACTTATGTCTAGACTACATTCTGTTCAGGATAAATTTATAATTCTCCCATATGAGTAAAAGTCGAGATACCGACTTTTCTCACCGACTTTAGTGAAATTATGTTCATAGCCCAGGTAACGCGAAAAGCAACTTTTGAAAAATGCAGTGCCTATGCCCTGAATACGGTCCTGGTCAAAAAGTCGGTTGTTAATTTCCGTTAAACGATTTTTTACGTAATAAATCCGACAAGGATCGTATATTTGCACTCATTTTTCGAGTTAGCCAGTCGCATGCTAACGCTTCAGTTTTCAGTCACTACTGCCAATAAAAAACATTAATAAAAGCTTCAGATCCACTGAGTAGCAATCTAAAGGGAAAATTACTGAGTCTTATTTTTCTTTTATAAAAGATGAATATATTTGTTGCATAAGCTAAAATCTCCATGAAGAGTCATTGAGCTCAAGTGTGCAGTTTTGCGTTTAGAAAAATTTCGAGACATGACAAATGCACTTGACAGAGACAACTTAGAATTGACTCAATACTTTATTAATACTGTATAAAGTCAAATATAGCTCAAAAGAAAACTAAAGCTTCAAGAGTCTGTCAAGACCTGCTTATCCGTAAACCGCAATAAAAGAAAAAAATCATTTTTAAATAAAGGCCGTTTGCGTGGATATTAAAAGGGTGCACATAGGCTTTAACCAAAATAACCATAGATTTCTATTGCATTAAGTAGATAGCGCCTTACAGGCATTTCCCTCCACATTTAAACTGTCTTCACATAAGGAAGATATACAGCACCAGTTCGGAACGACAAGCGTACATTGACACAACATGAATACACTGATATATTCCTACAAGTGCTACATGTTTGATGTATGTAATTAATTACATACTGTCATTTCACACTTGTCTTACAACTTGCTTTTTGTGACGCTATTGTAACCAATAGTGAGTTGAGAGGCGTTCGCCTATCTTTCTCTTAATAAAACTTGTCTAAATTGAACTGAAACAGGACATTATAACCTTAAGTGGATTTTTTCGTATACACTTGCACCCGCAACAAGGTTTCCTTGTTATGTCATTTGAACATAATCAAAAGAAATTACGTCAAAATATTAGACTCGGCACATTTCCTCATAGGAGGCCGGTGTTGTTGGCACAGTGGACTTCATCTAATCAAGCCACCTGGAATCAAAACGTCCGGACCAGTTGTATGATTGGTCACACTATCCCCATTTACTGTGTACAGCCGCTGATTAAGTATTTGCACAAGTTATGTGCTCTTCTATTATCCTCTCCATTCTTACTGTGTTCTCTAGCGTTCTCCGAGCTGTTTTGCTGTCATAAGGCGACAATGATTGTAAGTTTTGACAAGCCCATTTTCACGGCCTTTTGGCGCCGTCTTCCTTCGGGATGTTAGCCCATCATTTGGTCCACTAGCAGGTAGTGTCAGTGAGTATTGAATTCTTCCTAAACGTCTGAGCACGCAAGCACGCCACCAGACCTATCGACGTTGGCTTCGTCTAGACAGGAAACATCTAATTATCGTTTGACGCGAAGGCTGTCGCTCTCTCCCCCGTCACACACTCCACCTCTACTTTGACCGCCCTTGGCCACGTCCTCCCTCTACCTCTCTTTCTCTCTCGCCCTCTTTCTCCTCGTAGTTCGACAGCACAATCACCTGCATCTCGGTGGTGTGCTTGTTTCCCCGCACTCACTGCGGACTTCCGTAGATTATCTGGATATGCGTCCGAACAGTGAGCCGTATACTTGTTTGTCTAAAATGCAGTGCCCTCTCAGTCCGGGCCTTCTAACTACTAACCTGGAATACCAACTGATCATTTAGGCGGAGGATATGGATATATTAAATGGGATCGGTTCATGGTGGCTCATACGATGTGTTTTACTTCTTCAAAATGTGACCCTACAAAGCGACCGACCAGTTTGTTTGGTGACTCCATTAGCTGGAGTTCACGCTGTATTTTTCTGAAGTGAACGCGTTTTCTCAATGGCCACTAGGAGACAATTTAAGGAAACATAGCCCCGTTGGGCATGCAATCGTCCTCTACAATGTGGGCTGTAATTCGCCATATTGTCAACTTGCACACTTTTCCACCCGAAAAGAGTATAATCTTTGCCGTGCCTTGTGAAGCAGTCCGTGATGCTATCTTTTTTTACCAATACATCTTAAATAAAATCTCTCTGAAAAAGTTCATAAACATTGCAGCAAATATTGCGCCCGCGCAAACCTACAGAAGGTCTTTATTTAAAGATACCTTCAACATATGGAGTGCGGAAAAGGCTTTTAAGGATGCCAAATATCTCACCCATAAAGAGCAAAAATATTATCCGCAGGTTTAATCTGCGCCTCACATGAAGCATCTTCTGTAATCATTTTAAAAGGGAATGGACATTTATCTCAAATGAAGTTTAAAGAGGAAGAGCATACTCTAGAGAGCAAGTGGGATGGAGGTTAATTTAGATGGAACTATCCGCGTGTGGCCAGAAGCATTTTTAGGGCGATGCTGAGGTGGAGAGACTAGGTAAGAATTAAGTTAATGCGCGAAGTAGGGAAAAGCTATGAAGAGCTGCCTACTATATTTTTCAAAGAAGGTGTTGTCATACAGAGTTTTAAGTCGGCCTTTAGTCGGCGGAATGGCATTCGCCGTCATGCACAGCCCCGAAGATCCATTACTACTGAAATGTTTGCCCTGGTTCATCTTTTATCACACCTCACGCGTAAAAATTTATTAAGAGTAAAGCTCAATTTTAAAAGAAAGCTCGGGGCGGAAGGCACTCAGTTATTAAAAAGATGCTCGAAATACTGGTATATGGAATGAATACGTCTGCTAATAAAGCGGTAGTATTAAAGCTCTGGCGAATTTGCTAAACAGCACTTGAAACTTTCGCACCCTGCGCATATACTTAATCCTTGCCAGAGACTGCACCCAAGTGTCCCATTCGGCAGGGTTTACGGTTTCATGATAGGATGTGATAGGCCATGCACTCTGTCGAATACGAACCACCCATTATCATAACCCCAGATAGGTTTCTGATAGATGACAGAGGGCACTTATAATGGTGACTCCTCGACGTGTTTAATCAGCTAGTCTCATGTAATGACAAATGACCGCGCATGTGCACTAATGATGGAACGTCCTTTTCAGCAAGTTAAGGAATCACGCGAACTGATTTGTTAATCACGAAGCAACGTTTTGACAAAATGTTGCTAGGTCTTGCTAATGTAAGTTCTTTGTTCTAGGTCTACACCATGGTATTTTGGACTAGCAGCATGAAAGTGCGAATCATGTTTCTCGTCTAAGTCCACATGCATTTGAATCACCGAATTAGTGTGAAATGAATAAGGAGTCAAGCACGGAAAACGTACGCCTTCGATTATTCACCACCAGGTAGAGTAGCACAGTTGAACAGCCAAAAAATGTCAGTACGATAGAGAGGGTTGGGGGACGTTTAGAGGTCAGGGGTCGTAGTATAGCTCTGTCAGTGCATTAGGGATGTGGAAGAGGGAGGTCTTTGTTAACTAGCTGTCCCCGTTTCATCGTTGTAACGTGACTGGGCGGACGTGAGCACAAATGCAAAGCCGGAAACTAAGCTTAGTCAGCTGCCTCACCAGCTGAGCTAGGAGAAAATGCACTCCACATACGCTTGAGAATGGACCCGCCATAGTAGAAAGACACTCTGAGTGGGAACAATTAACCCGAAATGTTTATCAATAACTATTAGGAAAAACGCCCTGCAAAATCTGATGTGGCGACGGCTGAGAAAAAGGGATCATTTCTCACAATTCCATTTCGAGGGGGTCCAGCGAGCTAATTGCTGCATTGTCGCTTAAACTCTGCTATCGTGCCCACACATACTCAGCCGCTAAGATAGGGCTTGTTTTCACAAGCACTCCGTTTCTTCGCCTTGAAGGAATGGTGGATGCCTTTTCAGACCTCTTCAGTGTGCAGTTACGCATTCAGCGGCTACTTTGGAGCAGGGGATACTTGTCGAACGACTAGGAGTCTATCTAAGCGGATGCCAGAGCACCATCCCGACTGGCTAAATCAAGGTGTGGAAAAGTCCATCTTTAGCGCAATTGCGATTCACTTGTTTGACAGCGGTCACGGAGTAGACGTAAATTAAACATTCCGAATCATCTATAAAGCATCGGAGAGACACTCGGAATTTCTGCCTCAGCGGGTACTTGCAACGACAAATGCTGTGGAAGCACAGTTAGCCAACCCAACCTGATGGTCACGTAAAACGTCTGTACAAGCCCTAAGGCTCCCCTAGGCAAAGTAAACCCAGCAGATTTGCTCACACACAACAAGGCCCGGTGCAGCGATGAAACAGGGACAGCTAATTGCCGAACACAATCCTCCCTATCCTCCTTAAGCCCCTGACTGAACTAAATTCTGACTCCTGACTTCCAACCGCACCTCAACTCTATCCGCCGTACTGCCTTTTAATGACTACTTAACTTTTGTTACTCTACCATCCCTTATTTCACTGTACAGACCTGAGGATAAATAACCGCAAGCATGCATTTGCCGAACTTGAATTCTTGGTGCGAACTCCTGCTTTCTGTACACATGGTTGATTCGCCGAAATGTCGTTCTACTTCTTGCCGCACATTTGGCCATCAGTATGACCCTGATGCAATAGCCACGTTGGTTGCGAGTGCTTTTTTATTTATAGTATCAGCTGGAACTTTTATCCAAATGGGCGTCTCCACCTGGCAACAGTCCAGTCACCTTTCTTTCGTTAATGGCTGCTTTTAATTTCAAGCCTTCAAATCAGCATTTACCCTCATTTTCCATTTAAGTGGTTTAGTCTTTTTATTCTAAGCAGGTAAATTCTAAAAACGGTCATTTGGTATTCTCAGAATTTCTCAGACTATGACTACAGTCCCTTGGTTCATTTGGCGTAAGGTTACTACTACGAGACTCTTTTAACTTTCTTATTTTGTGACTTTATGTTCGCCTAAAACGCATTACGAAAACATCCTGATATTAAAATTGGTATTTTACAGTCACTATAATAAGCCTCAAATTTAAACCCCTTGTGTATGCTAAAGTAGATTACGAATACCTTCCATTGTACATAGTATAGGCAAACTTTTTCGCCTGAATAGATCGGCATCATCGAGGGTTCCCTCGTCTAAGCGTATTCCGTTGCGGGACTATGAAAGCTTCCTCCGAAGCAGCCATTTATGTTTGAGTATGAGTGTTCTGCCACCATAAGATTGCGCAGGGTGTGGCTAATAAACTGCCCTCCTCGTCGAGATTTTTCGGCAGACAGGTGACTTTTGACTTACAGAACTACTTTTGCTGGTAAAAGTGACTTTTTGTAAGGGCTTAAACATGCAGTTTTGCATTTTTGTATTTCGTGCGTTCGTACTGGATTCAAACTGGATCTTACCTATCTTTAAATTCGGCTGAAAATTAAACCCCACTTATTAATTAAATTTTTCAACTAAGACCCCTGTTGGTGGTGAAATTATATTTATTTTACTAGTTTTAGGGGCATAGTTGGAGTCAAATGTCTGCAGCAGTTCTCCCTCACAAAACGTTTCAGTACAGTTTTTAGACAATAACTAAACTGCAAGCAGTAGGAAATCGCTATTATTGTTCAGTGACGTTTCCAGCCAACGTTTACTCCGGTACACTGAGCACACGAGTGACCAACACTATTGAAATCATAGTTTCATTTTCCAAACTCTAATTCTAAAGATCAGTTGTATGTTCCAAAGACAATGTTTGTATGGTTCTTTCCAAGCAAAGACAGGGGGCAGTAAAATGCGTGGAAATGGCATTCATTCTGCAGAAAATCACTGTCCGTATAAAGTAGACATTGCAGTTTTTGCCAGAAGGCATAGCACATTGTTGGCCTCGACGCTTTGCCTTTGTCGCGGATTGCCCGCAGGGCAAATAAATTGAAGCCTGCAAATTCTTCAATCGTGTACCTGTAGCCAGTCTCACCAGGCAGACACAGTACCCTTACGGAATAAACAGCAAATCCCCAGTATGCTCGGTTTCCTTAGCCCGCTCAATTCAAAAGACCACAGTTAGTTGAGCGTCACAGCGGTTTTCGTCAGTAACAATCATTTTTCTTTATTTAAATAAGTTATAGAAGGTCTAGAGAAGTTGACCCCCAAAATCCTGGTTAATTCCCGTTATATTTATTGTCATATGTCTTAATGTAGCCCTTTAACTGTGCATCTGAAGTTATAGGGGCATATTTTTTAAATTGATTTTCAGGGTAGGATGTATTTTATGTGACCACTGCATAGTAAGTACGAACTTCATAAGTTTAGGAGTAAACCCACTTCGAGAGCATCGATGAAGCAGTGTTGTTAAAGCATTAGCAACTCGGCAGGATACCAGACTGGTCCCACCCCCCTCCAGGTGCAAATCAGGCTGTCCTCCCACCCAAATAATACCCCACAGACCGAATGTCAGAACTGTTTCGCACCGTACCACCTCCCCCGGTGGATATCGCTCCAACGTGTGTGGCGGCATGCCATCTTTGCACATTCCTGTATTAACTGGGTGTGTGTTTGCGTGCGTAGCGTGTGCTTGGTGCCACATGAATGCATGGATTCCAGCATGCATAGAAGAACGCAGGGCGGTCTTCACTTGATGAAGCCGAGCGAGAATTCTTGGCAGAACCAACAGTGCAAACACCTAACCCCCCGACCCACCGACGCCGCGAAACACGCCCTGGTGGTAGGGGGGGAGGGGGATGGTGGGGGAACTAGTGTAGACAAAGAAGGCCACAGGACGTGGGCTGGTTGGTAATGACTGCTGGCAGGTCAGAGAGAGAATCTGCGGCGGGTTTTTCCAGCCGTTTGGAATGCGCAAACAGGTGAACCCCTGAGGGCGAATATTACTATGGCATGCTGCATGGACAATACTTAGCCCACACACGCACATACCACATACAGAGGGAAAGATCACGCAATCTGATAGTATATCAACATTTCCCTCCTGCGTCCACTCCCTACCCCCCTCCCCCCTCCGCCCCCCACCTTCCTTGACCTTCAGCATCCTCACCACTAACGCAAAACACCTATTGCAGGTATCGTGTCTATCACTTTCGGTTTTTTTCTGTACTTCATGCATATTTACCGATCACCATGAGAATGCAATAAAAAGTAACGTTATTAACAAGACGCTAATAAGTCCAGATTTCCCTCCGGTTAGCCCAACAAAAACATGCAGTTATTTCTCGCACAGGAAATTCAGGCACTGGACCTTTGGCAGTCTGATACCTAGATTAGGAACCACTGTAACCGCTTACTGGACTTGATAAGTTCAGAGCGTACTTTTGCCTGCGGCATATTTTAGTATTAGGTGATATAGCAGACTCAAAAAAATGCTTTCCGGAATAAGGTATTTCTGTCAGAAAGATCAGTCTCTTTTTTGTACCAGTTGCATAAACCAGCGCATTGTTAGTGGTTTCGTAAATCAATTCATCAAATTCCATAACAGATGTAAGTTGAACGGTCTAGTGGAATAATTGGAGCCTTCATTGTGTTGTTTGATTTCTGGGAAACTTAATGTGCGAACTTAGAGTAAAACCGTTAAAACAGACCTTTTCAGGCTTGGTCCGGAAAACAATATGAATACTTGATCTGAAATCAATCAGCTATTGCAGAGTAACCACGTAGTATTCACAAGCTGCCTACGGAAAACCAGTAGTATACAACTATGTGATTTTGTATTATGATGGCAGCACAACTACTGCGTGTTTTGCCCCTGCTTGACGCAGTTGCGAGGGGTTCTGCCCCTCAGTGGGTTCCATTGTTCCCCGTATCTTTTCTGAAGTACGAGTTCCAGTTTCATCTTGCCTTTTTTAGTTCTTAGAAAATTAATGCGCGAACTTGATGAGACAGGCGTGTCTGGGCTTTTAACTACTACCTGTGCCGTCAGTAGGGTAAATACTCACATACAGTGAGTGACCAAACTTATGAAATCTTGGTTGAAATTCCGAAATGCTTTTTCCATTAGGAAGGATAACTTAGGCGCGGTTGTAATACTGATTACCTTGCGACATAATTCTATAATATTTCGGACTCGGTAGGATGACAGCTTTCGAATGCACGGCCTTTCAATCTCTTGCATAAACCGCACTCGATAAAAAGTGGCTTCTTAAGTAGCACGCACTTTCCCATTGATTTTTGATGGTCTTGCAAATCCAAATATATTTGGTAGTAACCACAAGCAAAAATGTGCTTTCTTTCGGCCGTTTAGTAGAAAATTACGTCTTTTCTATATTGTATACTCGAAGAAGGAGTATAATTTGTTTGTAAAAAAAGTTCTCATATTGCCGAATAAGTTAGAGCCTGGTCATTCGTTGCGTTAGCACTTAGTGATTTCATTCTACAAGGTGCACGCGTTCCGCGTAAAGATAATCACATATTCTTTAATGCCTTTAAAAAGAAATCATATAGATTCCACAAAATGTTGCAATGGATGCGGACTATGCTGTACATTTCATGAGGAGCTGTGGTAAACGGCCAGGTACGATGCTATGCGAATGGGCATTTCGCGGTCTTAAAAAATCCCATAATTAGAAACGTTCTGCCGAGTCTGAAATATTATAAGATTATGCCGCGAGATAATCAGTATTACTACCGCGCCTAAGTAATCCTCTCTAATCGAAAGCGCAGTTCAGAAGTTCAGCCAGCATTTCATGAGATCGGTCACTTACTGTAATTGGAACGTATTCCATCAATGATCGCAGTGATAGTTTTCATATGAAGAAATAACATTTATATTTAATTTTTAATTTTCTATTCAGGGTGACACTTGATTAATTAGTATTAAACGAATTTGATTAGAGAATTTAGTGCCTTATATACATTTAAACGTTTCTATTGTATTATTTCACAGGCTGGCATTTCCGAACGTAACGGCTGCAAGGTTTCAAAAAACCTTCAAAGTTCGCCCTCATTTCGATCGCACATCTGGACTGTTGCCCCAGAGGAGACGCAGACAGACTCCGAGAAAATTCAAAATATTGCTGACTTGGCTGTCGAGAAGCACTTCGAAAAGGCACTTGCCAACTTTCGTACCCCAGATCAGCAAACGCCCAAGTCCCCTCTGGATCTCAGCTGTCCTGGGGACAGCATAATCGACGTAGTTTCTTCACCCATTAGAGCAGATCATGATGAAGTCCAGGATGAACGTAGCACCAGCCAGGGCCACGCTGTTGTCAGGCCCATCGTACTCAGCAGTTCAGCGCGCTCTTTTGAATCAGGAATTTCGGGGTCAGACGCTTCAAACTCTTCGCCCGGCAGTGGATGTTCATACAAGCCCAAGAAGAACTGGCTGGCTCAGTACGGATGGCGAAAACAAGGCGCCTCGATGGATTTTTCTTCTTGCTTATCCTGGGATTCCGGTGACTGGTATCTGGAGTCCGGCTGTTCGGATAGGTCCGTGGAAAGCCTTAAAGATGTGAAACCTGTCAGAATGGATCACCCAAAGTCAGAAAGACGTTTTCATGCTTTGGGGACGAAGAGCGAAAAAGACGATTTTGGGAAACTCATTCAAAGGAAAAGGACTTCCTCAGTGCCTTGTCTGACAAACGCACTTCCCATTCTTAACCACGAGACCTTTCAAATGAATTCCGGTCTGATCGATCCTGATGGGCGGAACTCGACTTTTAGCAGCATGCCATGCTCCTCATCGTCCTCATCTCCTAATAATGCGAGACAAAAAATCTCATTTTTCTCAGAATCGTCATCCGATGTGAGTACTTATAATGCCTTGGTCTCTTTATTTTGTTCAGTTATAATAGTTTTACGTTGAATCATGCCCGACGTCTGCTTTTTTTACTGATATATGGTCCAGCGAAATGAAAGAAAACTAATCTATTCTACCGACAGGTGTTTCACTCATCTGCCTGACATCCACAGATGCACACTCGTCCCGACTGCGTTGCGATAACCACGCTCGACTATTCCTGGGCGGTCTCAGTCAACCATGCAGAAACCGGCATGGGTATCACCAGATGGAGACTAGCGACGGAGATACTTTTTCTGTTTTGTTTCTTGGCGGATTAGTAAAGCTTTGGACGCGGACCGCCGAAGAAGGTTCTATGGAGGATCTGTTCAACTGTACAAGAATCACTTACTAGCCCGTGGTTTAAGGAGTGAATTGGTATAAGCACGAAGAATTTACAACATAATCAACCATGCCCATAAAGTGGGACCTACTAGCACCATGATATTTCGTGTCTGCCCTTCGGTTGCATCATGTCCTCCTAAAGTGCACCAGGCAAGGAATTCACAGTACTTAAAGAATGTAAAAAAATCAAGGTCATAGTTCAGAACAATCAAACTAATTGATGAGCAGCCACCTGAAGCTTGATGAAGTTGACTTTGTCGTGGCAACGCCAAGCTTTTACTTTTGCACACACTCATAAAACAGCACCGTCCTATTCTTGCTTTTTTATGGCGTTTCGATGATTCCTTATTATCTAGATTGTTTGTGCAGAATTACCATCTTATTGACTACATATAGACTTTTTTTAAAAAAAACAGACCAATGCGCACTTACTACTAGTTATTCATGTTTTGTAACGATAGAAAGCAACTAAAAAGCCGTCGTAAAACTTGGTTTTGATAAGCTCTTTCGCATTAGCTTAATAAACTCTCTCTTCAGAAAAAGTGCTTTTCTGTCAAGCGACGTTCATCGTAAAACTTTTCTGAATTAAAAGTAATGACCAGGGGATCCAGCAGTTCGGTAGACAAACCGTCTATCTGTGGGTTTTCTCGATGCCACTACCTTTAATTCCGCAAGAAGCTTTCCATTTCCGGAGTTTCAGTCTTGCGAACTTACGCCGTCAACTAAGTCAGAAAAGGTTATGTAAATAGGTACAGTCTATTAGGCGTTAATAGAAGTGAATGACGGTCAATTGATAGGCACTCATTGCAAAAATCCAGGCTTACTCCGAGGTGAAGAACAAAGTCATAAGTTTTCAACTCCGATATAAAAGTGTCGCCTTTGATCGACTTTGGAAGGCGAAGCACCTACTGTACTATATATATCGAAACGAAATTCGGAAAGTGACTGTTTCTTGTAAAGACGTGCCTCTTATCAAAGACAGACACATTAAAGCGACTGGCCCTCTGACCATTATAAGAATTGACATCAAGCATACGAACAGACTTTGATTCTAAACGGAATTTGCAAGTGACAACGGTCGTTTCCTTAACTTCTATCTAAGTGAATGTTCAAAAAACAGAGCAGTTTTAAATTTCGTTTTTCGGATTTTTCAAGAAATTCTTCTAACTAGGCCTATTTATGTTTTTTCTCTTTTTACCCAAAATACTTGGGACAAAAACTTAAATTTAAGGCAATTATTCCCAGAACGTAATAGATAAACCTGTAAAAGCAGTGGTGACAACGGATTTTCGGGGTTGATTGTGCCCTACCGAAGTGTATAAAAGCATTAAGTCCATTGCAGTAGTAGTATCATTCTGTCACACAGAAGGCTATGGAGTGAAAAGCAACAACTTCCTGAGAAATCAATAAATTGCTTCTGCTTTGGATTATTTTAGATGGTAGGCCGCCGCATAGCGCGAAGCACTAGACAGTCACACACCATTTGCGGTGTTTTTTTTTCGAGTCTGCTGAGTAGTTCTGTTTTTCGTTAGCTATTTGGTTCCTGGTCAACGTAATCTCCTCCACAAAGTAATGATTGTTATTAGGCATATTGAAAAGTATAAAACCTTCCGACTACCATACAAAGACAAATTCCTTGTCAGTTTGGACTGCAAAGCAAACGCACTACTTTGCCCATTAAGCAGCTCATGCACTTTTTTCCTAGTTCATTCAGTCTTCACTTTTGATTGATATTTCATGCTCTCCAGTTTCTTTTGACTTAAAGTTGATCCCTCTTATTTTACGCACGCATAAACAGGATGAAGCTCCAGTGGTCCATATAGCCAGTGCTCCCGAGCGGAGAGCAGCCACAGCCCAACTAAACAGCGTTCAGCGCCAACATCTCGTCCATTCTAGGCGTCCGACGCTCCCACGCAGACGGAGTGAAACAGTCAAGAGCGACAGTGCTGACTGTCTCCTACACAGGGTACCTCAGTCCGCCCTTACGCCTGACGTTTCTCCCACTGCAACCTCCGGCTTCTTCACCGACTCCTCCTTCTCCTTAGACCTAACCCTTCCCACAGTTTCAGAGGACAACTTACCTGGCGCTGGCTGTGATGCAAAACGTCCTGACCAAAGTCAGTCGTTTACGCCCGACTGTCAGCATCATCGCCAGCGTACAAAAGGCCACAACTACCCTTCCAAGTATTGGACAATTAGGAAGAGAGCGGCTTCCGACGCCAATCACCGGTGCTGCTTGAAACGTTCCAGGTCACTGGCTGTGGATAAAATGGCGCGGGAAATTCCAGGTCGCTTGGATACGGAAGAGGTTGATGAGACAATACCGTGATCAGGTTGCTTCTTACCAAACAGATCACGGACGCAACCCCAGAACGAATGTGAAAGTTATGCTCATGCTGCCACGTTTGGTGGGTATGGGATGTCCGGCGACGGAGGAGGCCACTCTGGGCACTAAAATGTTCGACGATCTGATGGGAAAACTTGTTTCTGCATCTATAAAGCTTTTCATTCATTTATCAAGCTTCAGATATCTTAGTAAGGCGTTGTATGTCAATAGAGTTCTTTCAATAAAGCATCCACTTTCTTAGTGGTGTTTGATTTTTTTAACACATAAGCATAGTGTGGCAGTTTTGTAATTCTCCTATTACGATTTGCGTGTAGCTATTTAGTTATCAAAAAGTAGAGCTGAAATTGATGCATACTAGACATTAACTGTCGAAATATTATTCTGCCTAGAACTCAAGCAATAATCGTTAAATTATTTGCTTATTTATTTTTATTGACAGGGTTTCCTATATTTGCGCATCAAATAGCCTCAAACCAAGCAAACGGCCTTTTTACCATGGGACCCTGCATTTTTGATAAAACAGTGAGACACTTAATAAATAATCGGTCAATGTGTCTTGGACTAGAATTTCGGCTTTTTGCACACAGGTTCACTAAAAGAACTATATTCATTGCATTCTGCAACTAAAATTAATTGATCGACAATTTGCCTCCAGTTAATTGGCAATTCTTATTAGCCGTTGTGAATCGCGGTTGTTAACAGAAAAAGGTTGGATTCGACGTTTGGCTTTATTTTGTTGGTGGGTATACCCGGCCGAATTACAAAAATATGAAGTATAATTCATTTTGTTTACTGCTACTCATGGCAAAGTTCAAAACATGTCAACCTGGACGGCCACGATTGGTTAAGCCAAAATAAATACGTCTTCAGATAACACTATGTGTGTATTCCTCTCGAAGCCTGATAAGGCATTAGGCAAACAGCATTTGAATCCCAATAATATACTCCATTACTTCTCACACGATTGTCTGGAAACATTCCCTAAATCTTTAAGTGAGCCTATCGCGAGAAGAAACCGTATATTTCTAACAGCCCGTAGTTTTTTTCTGCGGAGAAAACAGAATGTGCTAATTTAGTAATAAGGACCAAGTGCGAACATGCCATAGCTGTGCTGTTAGTCAACATTTATCTAAGCCTAGATAAACAAAGGGCAAGAAATTCGCCTTGTAGTTGCTTACGGTCCGCACAAAAGGTGCACCAGCGCCTGGGACGGTCATTGACGTTTACCAAAGTAGGGAATTTTCTGCTCGATATTCCTTTTCTTGTTGGCAGCAATTTCCGATCGAAGCATGTAACTGAGAGTAAGCAGATGAGACCTTTTAGATGTCTTCAATAGTTGGGCTACACGGAGTTCTCAAAAGCAAAAAAATCAAGTGAGACCTCAGTAGACTGTGCAAATATAAAACTTGTGATCATAATGAACCTGTTTACTATGTAGCGAGTGTTAAAGACAGAACCGTCAATCCCAGACTATAAAAATCAGGATAAGACCAGAGTTATGGAAGAATTAATAATCAAAAGTCAAACGACCTGACAATCCCTCTCATGTCAAGCGCGTCGCGTCGAGTTGTGTTCATTCCATTCAGTTAAACAACCAGTAAGTTCAAGAATGAGGAACAGGTAGGGAAAGGCAAGATAGTCTGGCGCCTCGGCACAGTACCCCCCTCCGAGACCGGAGGCCGGCGAAAAACGACGCCGAAGGATGTGTACAGGTCTAAAAGAAATGCGTGACCAACCGATCAGGAAAGTGTACATGACGACCACTACGAGTGATATAT